AGAAGAACCTCAGCTTAGCCTGTTAGCCTTTGCGCTAGCACTGACGCTATATTGTCTTATATGTATTAGCTCGGTGCTAGCGCGACAAACAAGCTGAACTGAGGTCCTCCGTCCATATTTTTGGTTACAGGCTGAATCATTTCTACCTTCTCCTCTCTGTCATGTGGATGGAGGACCTCAGTGATGAGAGGAGAATGTGTAGTGCTGAGCTAATACATATATNCTTTTATCTGACACGGTTTGAGGTGGCTGAGCATGCAGCAGACACACAACATCACTATTTGCCACTTTGCTCATCTGCTCTCAATTTTTCCCTCTTTTGCCTCTCCTGTGACTCAATGTAAAATCATACACGGTATACACTAGGCTAACTATGTCCTTAAAGTGCACTTAAGTGCAAATCAGGAGTCGTGCAGTCAGTGAAATGTCACTCAGCTTTACCTGTGTCTAATTGCACTTCACCATAGATACGAACACTGCATTTGCTAAAAGCTTCAAAAGAGCACTCATCAGTCCATAAATGCTCAACAACTGCACCTTTTTTTAGTAAACTTAATTAAAAAGTTAAAATTATCAAACTTATTATAACAATAAATGTACATATTTTTAAAAATCCATAGCTCTTTTTGAGTGCTTTTTCTGTTGGTAATGATTCATAGGCATCTTAAAATGAAACAATTTCCACATTTTATTATAAGTTTGCACAAGCTGCTGCAACATAAATATGCTATTTATTACACAGAAACATTATTAAAGAGGAGGAAAATGTATCAAATCATATCTGACACTTAATGAAACGTTTCTCCTGTATATTGTCAAACAAATACTGTAGATTCAGATTACATTTGGACTGTTACAAATTAAAAGTTTGACTTTTGAGTCATAAAAAACAGAAATATTCCAATAAGATTTTGTTAGAATTAAGAAAAGGCTGAAAAAGTTGCTGTTTTTTTTCTTTCCAGTTGAAAGATGTTCCACAAAATTTAAAATGTTTCTTTATAAATATGAAACAAAATAACGCCTCTTCCCAAACAATTGGCATAAAGTACGTGTTGATAATACCTTTGAGCATTTAAGGACATACTATATTAATGAAGTAATTTGCCTGCACTGTATCATATTTAATTTTTATTGCCATGTTTAAATTTTATATTGTTATTTCTATTCTATTACCACTACTGCTATTGGTACATAGTAATATGTTGTTTTCTTGTGAACTGATGCTGCTGCTGTTACACCTGAATTTTCCCTCTGCGGGACAATAAAAGCTGTTTCTATTCTATTCTATTCAACAGAGTGTTTTTAATAATTTAATCCTAAACTGTTTCAATTTCGGTACTTATTACATAAACTCAGGTAAAACAAACATTGACTAATTGTACTGGATGAAACCTTATACGTTTGATATTTCCAAGTCAAGTCATCCCATAGAGGATCTGTTATTATAAAAAATATCAGAATTGAGACAGATTCAGAGAACCGGGAAGAATAAATCAGGTGAACCAGAAACATTTTGCTTTAAAAGGCTTACCTAAAAGCTTTGCAATTTACTGCTAATCTTACAAAATGAATGCAACAAAGGAGAGTGTTAAATAAAAAAAAACCTAGAGGAGGTAATTTGTCAYAGCTGCTATTTGTTTCTAAAGCCTTTACTGTGACTTTATGTTGGTTTTTATTTGTTTTTGCGTTGCAGCTGAGAGCTCGAGAGCAGTTTGCGCTGTCGCTCCCACTTTCTGGTCATAGCTCGCGCGCTCTTTGTTCCATAAAACGACAGCCAGTGTCAGGCAAAAACAGYTTGTGCTTTTTGGCTCTTTGACATGCCAATACCTCTTTTAGTCATTTTTCTTTCTTTATCCTCCCCTCATCTCTGCCTCTCCCTCTCCTCTTCTGGATGCGATTAGAGAGCAGTCGTGAGGAATGCGAGCTATAATTCTTCCAGACACTGCGAAACAAAATGGACTTGAAAAACTCTGAAGCGTGCCCAAAAGAATGTGAATATGTAATGGGAAAGCGGGTACGGAAGGGTGGAGTTGATTGTTTTTATTTCACCATTTCTTTCTTTTCGTACCCCCTTTTTTTAAAGTTAAATTGCCCAGGCCTGTGCTTTCCTCCACCAAAAGGAAAAAGAAAAAGCTTGAGGCACACTTAAAAGAACTTTAGGCTCAGATGTAGGCTTTGCAAATCTAATGAGAGTTTCTGGCAACCCCGTTCCACCTCACAAGAAGAACTGGATATGAAAGAAACCATTCTCCCTCTTTGGCTAAAAAAAAAAAGTAAAGCTCTTGACATGAGAATTTATCGCTGAATCAATTCAGCGAAGCATCGACGCAGAGACAGACGATGAAGTCATAGGTCAGTGAAAGATGAAAGAGAGAGCTAAATTGGAGGAAGATGGAGATAGATAGAGTGGGAGGAACAAAATTTCATCACTTTACCAGAGGTGGGCTTGGTAATGAATGAGTCACTTCATGTTACAACACATGGAATCAACTACAAACCCAAATTATTTTCTACAGCCTCACAGACGTAAGTTTTTACTGATTCCTGCTCCGTTTCATTACGTTCTGATTCATATTTACAGTTCTGCTTGTCTATCTGCTTAATACACACACTTGGGAATAAAAGGCTTCAGTCCACCTTATGTTTTCACATCTTCTGCACTGCGGAAGCACCTAAAAACTAAAAGTAGAGTGAACATTTTGCTTCAAAGACAGAAAGACCACTCGACTCACACCTCCTTTCTCCGTGGATCAAAACGACCTAATAGAATATCACACAGACTC